AGGAATGTGTTTATGGAAAATAAGCATTCCACAAGAGGGACTGGAAACCATCCAGGGAAACAGAAGAATGATGGTGCTTGTGGGAACATCCACAACTTCAGTAGACATGGGGCTGACCCATAAAATCTGGTTGTTTGACAGTCTCATCTCCCATATCTCATAAAACTCTTATTTACAGACCAGATAATTAAAACCAAATAATTCCTTTCCCTCCTACAGTGATTTAGCTCAGAATGTATTACTAGTACTCCACTTCCCTTTGCATTTAAGAATCTATTTAAATAAGTGAGCACTAAGGGAATTAGGTCCTAGTAGAGAGAACAGTCTGTAAGTACACTCAGTCTCCAGGTTCTTGCATCAGTTAAATACTTACTAGGAAAGTTGTTGTAATAAACTACACTGTCTGAGCAGTGGTTGATAATGGAGAGAGAAGAATTGGTCTAAAGCCTTCCCAGAAGAGTAAAAATTTAACTAGTAAATAAACTAAAAATGAGCCATGGCTGTGGGAAGATTTGAGGATGGGTAGTGCTTTAAGTGGCAGGGTTTCCATTCTGTGGTACAAAAGTTCTTTAGGAACTCCACAGCAGTGGAGTTGAACTCTGTGACAGATCCTTCTAAGATTTCTCCTTGGAAGTAGGAGCTAGCATCATGGCAAAGTCACAGCTAGATGCAGCTTCTGGTTTTTAGGCCATTTGGGGAAAGCACAGGGAAGATAACAGAAAGGAAGAGTCAGAAGCTGGATCCCAAGGCAAGGTTGCAGGGAAAGGCTTGTGATAGTAGAAAACAAATTAAAGTTTGGCAGCAGCCCAAGGCTTTCTTGAAGCTGCCTTTAAACTAAAACTGCAAAGGTGAGACATATGATGAAGAGCACATTGGACTACCCTTGAGCCAGACAATAGGCTGGCTTCTGTTGCAGTGAAGGGAAGTGGTACATCCCATGCTGCTCTCTTAAGAACAGCTATTTTCCTATGACCAGCATAGTCCCCCAAACCAGGAGGAACCAGGACTGTGCTATTCATCGCTCACCAGCGGGGAGTTTCCTGATCTTATACCAGAGATGCCACTAGCTTTTCCTGCCATAATCAATGCCTTAAACTACCTACACATGAAATCTGAGATAGAAATTGCTCTTCTGCATGTATTGCAAAGCCTTTTCATCAATTTAGCTCCCAAAAAGAAAGATCTGTGAGAAATATATATTAATGCTCATTTCTGTTGAAGGGCAGCAAATCATTTAGCAAATGTTTGGGGGTTTGACCTATGTTTCCCAGATTCTAGGAAGGACCTTTTCTGGATAGACATATCATTTATTTTGAAACAAATTTTATGTCTATGTTTGTGAAATGAAATGTTGGCCTGATTTTCAGCACTGTTTTTAGCAGCTGTTCCACTAATTTCAATTAGTGTAAGAGGTTTGAATCATTTGTATATACAGGCATGTTACTGAAGGATTTTTAACTTTTTTCTAGAGTCTTGCTCCTAATCAGCATTCTCCAACTGTAGAACTAGACACCAGGAGAGTGTGTTCATTCCTAGATCTATTATTATGTGACTGTAGAAAAGGAATTTATCCCCATTTCCTTATTTGTACAAGATAAATAATATTTCTCTACCTTTGGAAAGTTGGTTTAATTGTTATTCAGTGACAGAATTGGTACTAGTCTTTCCTATTATGTGAGTATGAAGGAATGCATATAATGTGGTGCATTTTTGTATTGCCAGGAGTAACAGCATAATGAAAATAAAATCATGCTTTGCAAGGTGGAAAATTTCTGTCAGTATTCCTTAATACAACTGCCCAAAACAAGAAGGGGGAGAAAGCTACTCAGATCTGCACACTACATTAACTACGAATGAAAGGCTGTTCCCATTTTTTTCATAGAGCTTTTCATGGGTAACCATTAACGTCTCATCTTAATAACTTTTCTTCACTTTACAGTAATGTCATGTTTAGTAGGGAGTCATTCTTTGGATCAAGCCTCTCAAGAAAACTTAGGTATATACATTCAAGTAACAACTGAGCCTTACTCTTTTCATATTTCTTGCATGCTGTTCTCTGCCTGCACTTTTTGTTTTTACTACAATAGTTCATTCAACCACCATAAAAAATAAGGGGAGATAAGGCTGAAAAGTTATTTAAACATAAAAAGAAAGTTGCATGACCTTGCAGATATTCATTGTTCTGCTCTTCAGAAAACATGGGATCTAATCCTGGCTCTGCCAATTATCTGCTTAGAAACAAGTGCTTTTCTCTGTTTTCACAAATGGGAATGATACTAACCTACTCTGCAAACCATTTAGAATTTACTGTAAGAAAAATGTACTATAAGAGCTAAATACTGTACCCACACATTCCCAACCTTGCCAACACAAATTCATGCAACCCACTTTGCATTTGACTTCAGTGGAACAACATCCCTGCATGTGTATTTGCAGGTTCTTGTTCAGCAAATTGAAAGCAAGTGGATGCTTTTCATCATCTGAATAAAGTTACAAGCTAAAATACATTGCTGAACTGTGACCTCAGATGTGGGGCAAGAACTTTATCTTCTTGTAAAGAAACATAAAAAATAATTTTTTAGCATTCTGGGAATCTGAAAGACACAACTTCAGAAATACTAATATTTTTATTAATGTGTCAAGCATTTTATTCTATCCCACAGCAACATCTTGCTATCATTCAACTTTTGCTCATTGTTCTCATTCCCACTTCATTCCACAAAAATGAAATAATCAACGCACAACTCAGCTTTCCTAGTCTGAGCTCTCCAGCTTTTGGAGAACTGCTAGTGAAACACCTCATCTTTCCCCTGGGTGATTAGCCCATGCAAAATAGTCAAGAGAAACTGATTTTGCAGTTTGGTTTGCTTTCTAGTGGTTGATAAATGGAGATACATTTATAGCAACGTAGAGTGGGTCAACATCAATATAATTTCTACTTATGTTGCTGGCTGCATCTGTTGGCGAGAAATATCCAGTCTGTTCTCACAAATAATTGAACTTGGATGATTCTTCCTACAGATCTGTGTGACATTGCTTATTTTTGCCCATTCTCAATCACTTTAGAAAGTGTTGATGAGAAGAGGGGCTGAGCAAATGCCTTTAGTGTGCATGAGGGCTCTTTCTCTTTCTGAAGAACATCAA